GCGTTTATTGGATTGAAATAATCGTTTTGAGTTGTGTGTAACACATCTATTTTTTTTTGCTGAAAATTTCTAGTGTATGCTTCATTTTTTAATGTATTTTAAATGCACATCTAAACACTCATCTAATATTATGAAATTGGAACTAAAATTATTGATATCATGTTAGTTGAATGATTTAATGCAATCTCTCAATAACATCAGGCACTATACTCAAAATATATCACATGGTAAGCACGGAATGGGATCCATTTCTGAATAGTCGCAGAGCTAGGCACAAGAGATCGCCACAAGAGAGGAACTTACGTTTCTAAGCAAACGGACTTAAAATGCCTAATTATTTTTTACTACGTCATCGAAATACTATTCAAAAATTTACAAAAATACTAATCCTTCCGTTACCGAAGCCAAAAATATGCACTAGAAATAAAAAGAATGACTTATCCTTCAAATGGTCTCGATGATCACATTCAAAGTCAATAGGAACCAGTCGAAATATTTCATGTTTTTTCTGATATAACTTTTGTCTATTTCATTCCATTGAGCAACTGGCATATACGCTCTTCGGGAGTTCAGTTGAGTTCACCAAAGCCCACATTTTGGTAAATATTTCAGGACTTTTACCATCTGCATTTGGCACTGTTCCTACTGCGCATGTCCGCCTACTTCAGAAACGTAATTCCCCTATTGGGGATGTTACCGTAAAATTTGTCTAAATTCCGGGTTACGTTGCAATTTCATGCTACGTATATGCGTATGTATAAAAATTCATTTATTATCTACGTCTGAAACTGTTAAAAGAGGATAGACAGTCAGACTTGATAAAATCCGTACGGGTCCCTTTTTTGCTATTTACTACAGAGTCCAACAGGATTGCGGGTACTACATAAAGCAGCGCTTGGTTGTCTTTACATACCCATTTATTATTTATACTTTAATTTACGAGAAAAATGTAATTAAATTGTGTCCCTTTCCTAACAAATAAAAGGTATGTACCTGTAATACATACAAAAAATTAAAGGAAAAATTCGGCCTTGTTCAGCCTATGTTCTGTAGGTAGATGTCTATCCAGTCCTAACAAAAACATCGCTCCACTTATCGACTAAATGCTATGGAGAATATGGAACGTTAGCAAAATGTTAATTTTGTACCATTAAATATTGATGAACACGTGTAGCTTTTTGGATATAGAAAACTTCCTACTCCTTAAAATCTGTTCCTTATTATGTTAGAGGATATCTAATTACTAGGCAGAAGGGAAAAATCTGCTCATTTTTTTTTATTTTCTATAAAAGCACCAATAACGTTTTTGTTGTACTATTTAGATATAATACCTACTAATATACTGGTATAATAAAAATTTATTTATCTTTTTTTATTTTATTAGAATAATTATTCGCCTAGTCTAATAACTAGCCAAATTCGCTAACTACTGGCAACTGTACTGCTCCCCAGCGATTTTCAGCAAGTTCAGCGATTCTACTTGACGAACAACGACTCTTTGAATGGGTCTTGACGAATTGATTGCGGTTGCCTAGTTGCGATCGCCGACGACCAAAAAATTTGGAGAAAAACACGACTTTATGGAAAACTCGAAAATTTTTAAAATGATTGCTTTTCTCCGCCCCTGACGCAATTATAAACCAAAATAATTATTTATTTTCATGTTGTATTGTTGTGGTGTTACAGGCGAGTGATGAGGATACCGTGGATAGAGAAGGTTAGAGATGAAGAGGTATTATAAAGAGTAAGAGAACAGAAGACTATGGAAGTCAATAAAAAATAGGTTAGAAAGGTTAGTAGAACACCTTCTGAGGCATGAAGGTCTAGTCAGACACATATCAGAGGCAGAAACGGAAGTTAGGAGGGGCAGAGGTAGACCTAGATTACATTACTTTTCGCAAATACTTAAGGATATGGATTCTTCTAGCTTTAGAGAAATGTTAAGATTAGCGAAGGACAGAAAAGAGTGGAGATACGTGTCCAACCAGTCTTAGGACTAGGGTTGCCACCCGTACTTTACTATTTCGACTGTGCGTACGTTATACTTTACAAGACACATAAAGTACGCAAAAATACTTTGTTTAAGGCCTTAAGTAAACATCGTAATTTTGTAAGCGATTATTCTAAATTCAGAGTATTTTTACATCAATAATATTGCACAGAAAAAAGGCAAACCATATTTACGGAACAACCTGATTTCCCAAATCTGTTGTAGTAGTGTCACTTTTGCTGTCCGTTCCGACCACTTCAGCATTTACAGAAAGAGTATTCTCTGTTATGAACGCAAAGTGACGGAACGACGGGAATAAAGCTTTAAAAACTAATTAAAAATGAACTTTTAGTTTACTTAAATCTTTGTTTGCCATGTTTAGAGGCTATTAATGTATTTAAGAGCAACAGCAATTTGTTACTGGCTGCTAGGTGTAACAAAAAATATGTTTTTAAAAACAAAAAATAAAATAATTTATTTTTATGCTGAGTACATTTTTTTTAACCTTTTAGTCGAGAAATACGAGGGTGGATTGATAAGTTTCCGGCCTGACCAAGAAAAACAAGGTTTTTAAAAATTTTTTTTTTTTATTTCTCAACATAATCTCCTCCAAGGCTGATACATTTCTCATAGCGGTGTTCCAGTCTATTAATGCCATCTCTATAGACTGATTCGTCAAGCTCCTCAAAATAACCATTTACAGCTTCGATTACTTCTTCATTGTCCGCAAATCTCTTACCGCCAAGCCATTTTTTGAGATTAGGGAACAGAAAATAGTCACTCGGGGCTAGGTCTGGAGAGTAAGGAGGGTGCGGCATCAATTCAAACTTTAGATCGTTGATTTTAGCCGTCGCAACGATTGACGTGTGCGCTGGTGCGTTATCGTGATGAAACAAGATTTTTTTCTTCGCCAGATGAGGTCGTTTAATTTTCACCTCGTGGCTCAAACGTTGCAATAAGTCTGCGTAGTATTGACCAGTGATAGTATTACCCTTTGCAAGGTAATCAATGTATATAATACCTCTTGCATCCCAAAAAACAGTAGCCATAACCTTGTTCGCCGAAAAAATTGTTTTTGCCTTCTTTGGAGTTGGTTCCCCTGGTCCAATCCACTGTTTAGACTGTTCTTTGGTTTCAGGAGTGTAGTGGTGGACCCACGTTTCGTCAACGGTTACGAATCGACGCAAAAATTCGCTTGGATTACGCTTATACAATGACAAATTTGCGGTAGAAATGTTTTTTCGAATCAATTTTTGGTCGACTGTTAGCAAACGCGGCACCCATCTTGCACAGAGCTTTTCCATATGCAAATGTTGGTGCAAAATATGTTGCACACGTTCATATGACATCTTACAGGTCTCAGCTATCTCACGCACTTTCAATCTGCGGTCTCCCAGCACTATTTGATGAATTTTTTCGATCATATCTGGAGTTGTGACCTCAACGGGGCGTCCTGAGCGAGGCCCATCAGAGGTGCTCACACGACCCTTTTTAAACTCGGAAACCCACTGCTTAACGGTTGAATATGACGGGGAGGATGTCCCCAGTGTTGAGTCCATCTCTTTTTTAATTTCCTTCGGCGTTAACCCCTTCAAATAAAAGTATTTGATGACAGCACGATTTTCCTGCTTTTCCATTTTTACGAAAACCACAGAGGCGTCTTGTTCAGCGTGCTGTCAAACCTACACTAGCAAGGAGATCGGGCTGAAACTATAGCTACAAGCTATCCAAGGATGGTACTATAGAATGTCACCTCAAGGTAGGCCTAGTGGCGTCATCTCTTGGTTAGGCCGGAAACTTATCAATCCACCCTCGTACTTTATGTAAAGCCTGAAAAGGTGACAACCCTACTTAGGATTGACGACCTTATGATGATAGTGATGATAATGCTGTATTGTAACCTGCTGTGTACAGATTAACGCTACAAAATTAAAAGCCTGCACCTATTAAATTAATCCTGTCTACAGAAGACGATCAAAATCATGATCATTTGCGTTTAGACAACATAAAGAAAAGTTTCTTCCAAGATTATTGACAATAGATGAATTCTTAATCCATTATAAACAATGTAATGGAACCTGTTATTCGTATTTTAAGATTTTGAAGCTGAAATTTTAGTAGATTTCCTGCAGAAAGGGATCACAATTATAGATCCTTATTATATGAATTTAATTACGGCAGTTTATAGAAGAAAAACAGCGGGGAAAGTTACCCAAAAATATTGATTTGCATCAAAATAACGCACACAGTCAAACGTCCGCTATTTCAAAAGCTACATTAGCTAACGGGAGCTTCGAATTAGTTGAGCATTCGCCGTATTCGCCAGATTTGGCTCATAGCGATTACCAACTGTTTTCGAAACCTAAAGAATACTTGCGTGGTAAGCCATTTTCGTTAGATAATGAGACTGAAGAATCTTTTTTCCGAGAGGCACTACAAATGCTAAAACACTAATGGTAAAAAGTCGTGACCAAAAAGGACACCATGTTAAAATCTAATTGTACAATAAAATATTTGTAAATTTGTTATTGTAAATAGGTGAGGGGCAGTGCAATGGGATCAGTCCTAGCATACTCCCTAGACAAAAATTTTCACTCTCTCTTTTCAGCGTCTCTGACAGTCGTTCACAGTCTGTCAGTTAATTGACTAGGTGTTTTTATGGATCTCTCACAGTTTCTGTATGAGAGACTCGAACGATAAAATTGTTAATTCAGAGATTCGAATATCTCGTTCAGAGATTCAAGTCTCTCGTTCAGAGATTCGAGTCTCTCATTCAGAGATTTGAGTCTCTTGTTCAGAGAGAGATACGAAATAAGGATCTCTCTATGAGCGACTCGAGTCTCCCGTTTAGAGACGCTAAACAGTTTTTTTGACAGTCTCTCTCAGCGACACCAGGGAGACTCGATGAGAGACGGAGACTCCAGTCTCGCTTTCAGAGACTCTGAGAGACTGAATATTTTTATCTCGGGTAGTCGTTAATTATTATTTATTTACAAAAGTCAATACTTACCGAACTAAAAGTATACTTTGCTTGAAGCTACTAGGTACAAGAAATGCTGCAGCAAAGAAAAAATTGGCAGTTTGGAAGAGGTTGTGTTGTGCTGGAGTCCATTCTTTGCACTGCCAGGATTCGTCGCCCGCGACACCACTTGCAACTGTAGCATTCAACATCCTGAAGTCGTACTCCAAAAAGTCGGAGGAAGGCTCGGTGACGTTCATTATTGCCGTCGACGTGGTGTTATTCCACATAGCCAGCTCCGTTTCGTTGCTTCTGTTTTGATAATATCCACCGTAGTTATTTCCAATCCTACCTGACGTTCTGTTCGTATTGATAACGACACCTGGAACTTTCTGTCTCTTTGTCACGTTCAAGATCGTGTCCTTCGTCTTGTTTACAACCGCCTGCCTGAAGTGTTCTCTCGATTGTATCATAAGAACTTCCATAATGATCGCTGTAAACGAAAGGGATTGATGAGAGGAGGCGTACAAGTCATTTTAAGGAGAAATACTTCTTTCCATGTTTATTTTTATATACAATATTATTTACATTTAGTTGACGAAGCATTCTTTTGCAAAAATTTAAAGGAATTTAAAATGTTGAGCGGGGATTTTAAATTACGCGACACGTTGCAATAAGTCTGCGTAGTATTGACCAGTGATAGTATTACCAACTCCGATTAAAAACATTTAATGCAAGTTAAAATAGCTATTGTATCAATATAAACGTAGGGTTCATATTTTGGAATTTACTGAATTCATTGCAACACTTGTAACACTTTATATGTATANAGTTGACGAAGCATTCTTTTGCAAAAATTTAAAGGAATTTAAAATGTTGAGCGGGGATTTTAAATTACGCGACATTAAATTAAATTATTCACCTATAATACAAAGAGCATGCACAAAGTTAATTATTATTTAAATATATTGCACTATTTAAATACCATTAATACTAATTTTGGTAGCAGTACGACTTACAATAAACAACAGAATCTCTAAAAATATTTAGACTCAAAAGAGATAAACATTTGACAAATAGCTCATCTAACCTATTTCACTTACGATTTGTTCTAATAAGTTGTTTAATTTCATAGGGGTTAGTATTGAAAATATCTACACTGTGCTTTTGTATGGCCACATTGCACTCCTGTAGCATTATGTTTAAGGGAGATAGTACCTACTGGGTTATTGTTTCTCAAATTAATCTAAGGACATTAAATTTGAGCTTGTTGATAAAAGAACATTCTTTATAATTTCAAGTTATTAACCACGCTATAGAGAAAAAGAACAACGCCTGCTACCCTTCTGTTAGGCTATCACTGAATCTTAAACATTTCCAAAATCCTTGCATATGAAGTCATGTGAGAATAAATACTGTTTTTCTTAAGATAAAGATAAATATTATAAAAATCTTTTGTGAACCTTCTTAAGCATGCCACAGATTACGACAGTTTCTCGTATCCTAATCAGTATTGCAAACCTTAAATGAGGTCATACTGAGGCTTTGTAGAGTCCTATAACACAATTCATACAAAACCCTTTTGTATTTCTTATTATTTACATTAAATATATCGAAAATTTCATTTTAATTAATTTATTGAATACGTAAGGAAATTTTAGAATACACTTTATTTTTCGACGAAGTTCCCCCTTTTAGCAATATACTTTTTCTTAACAGAATGGAATTATCGGAAAATAAATGTGATTATATCTCTAAGCAATTGTGCTCAAAAGTTTCCATGTCTCAGTTGTAATCAAAACGGTGTTTGGCGCGATATCGAGCACAGGGAGGTAGTTTTTTAAGCCGCAAACGATCAATTTGCGATGAGACGTGGGTACTAAATTATATCCGGGAATCTAAAGAAGTCAGTATGGAGTGGCAAAAATCGATGAAAATCCACCCCGAAAAGCCAGAACTTGTCTTTCTGCAGGCAAAGATCCGAAGCAGAAATTTGGTAGGGTAGCCACATCAGAAAACGACTCTACATAATGTGGGCCTGATGTGTCTCATTAATCCAGGCCTCATCTAACAAAACCTGTAGTCCCGATCAGATTATTCCACTAATTCCGTCAGTATATGTAGGTACCTATAGGCGCCTCATGTAGCTTTCATATAGCACTGCCTCATTTAGCATCCGAATTAGGATTTATATAAATGGAGTATAATATAATAACTATAAAATAATATATATAGTACGTGTAACTCTCGAATACTTTGAAAATTTTATAATTTCCTATTGTAAAAATAAATTCTAATGAATCATGCCACTAGACCATAAAAAAGGTTTATTTTATAAAATCTTATTTAAAAATATTAATATGTCATTCCTGTTATTCAACAGAACTTAATCATATACAGCCTAGTGCTAGATATCTTCATTTCAATGGCCTAATAATAATAATAAGGTACGCCTCACTAGATCCCCGATCCAGTCCCGATAATGTCATGGTTGATTTTCCTCATAACGCAACCTATTACTATCCGCTTCTTGACGAAGCAATACTGACGTTTTGGCGAAAAAGACGAGAGAAAGTGTGATTCTTCTCCGTGACTACCCTCGGCCACATACACCTTTGATGCAAGACAACTGAAATCAATTCATTTAAAAATATTTCAACGTTTCGCCTCTAACCCTGATATGCCACTACGTTACCATCACATGTTTGAGCCACTCAAATGAGAACTTGGATGCCATCGTTTCGATAGCAATCAAAACTTGGGTGCATTTGTGTTCAATTGGTTAGAGGACAACCATATTCATTTTTCGCTATCATCATCATCATCATCATAGGGTGTCAGTCCTAAGACTGGTTGGACATGTACTTCCACTCTTTCCTATCCTGAGCTAAACTTCGCATTTCCCTAAAACTACGATAGAACAACCCACATCCTTAACTATTTGTGAACAGTAATATAACCTGGGTCTACCTCTACCCCTCCTAACTCCTGTTTCTGCCTCTAATATGTCTCTGACTAGACCTTCATGCCTGAGAAGGTATTATACTAACCTATCTCGCCTATTTTTTATTGACTTACATAGTCCTCTGTTCTCCTATTCTTTCTTTTAACCTAACCTTTTCTACCCACGATATCATCATCCTTCGCCTATAACACCACATTTCGAAGGCTTCTAACCTTTTCTTTTCCGCAGCGCCCACTGTCCATGTTTCGAACCCGTACAATGCTGCGCTCCAAACATACACGTTTAACAACCTTTTTCGAATTTCTAAACCAACCGTTCGCGAGCATAGAAGTGACTTCTTTTTATTAAAGGCGACACGACCCTGCGCGATCAACATTAAATAAATAGGCGGAGTTTTGTCATTACGCAAGTCAAGATTACGGCCCACGACATTCTAAACTACCTCTACAAATACAGAGTTGGGAAGGGTACCCGGGTTAATTCCGGCGTTCCACGGATCCGGTACTGTTTTAAGGATCCTACCAAGTATCGAATAATAAAGCCGGTTATCCCGCTTTTACTATTCTTCCTACCTCATTAAACCTAATGCAATTGAATAAAAAAATTAGAATTTCAGAAGGAATTCCTGTGACTATAAATATGTAAATTTATGAGCTCTCATAAATGTCAAAACGAAATATTCTATAGCGAAGTAATAAAATCACTTAAGCACCGAAGCTTCTCCAATATTAGCAATATTTCCTGTTGATATTTCAAAACTTCGAGAAGGGCATTAAAGTTATATCTACGCGTTATGGGTTTGTTTATAACTTTAAAAAGAATAACACATGCAGTAAATGAAATCTTTTATATATTTCGTAATAATTGTCAGGAAATGAAATAAAGTATTTTTTAAGGTATATTCCATTTTACTAAAATAATGATAAAGATAGTATACCGTCATCTACTGATATCTGCCTCTAATTGAAGTGTTTCATACGATAAACAATTGCCTTACTAAGGTGTCTACTTCTCTAACTGAATTGACAACGTTTAGCTTATAGACGTAATATTATTGTGATATGGGAAGGTATCAAGAGAATATTAATAAAAAATAAACTAAAATAATTTAGTATCTGATATTGATCGATAACCATTTTATCATAAACAGACATAGCACAAATGTATACAGAATCTAACATTTCTCTTTTCCCTTATGAGGCATTCATATGTCAGGTCACGCCGTTTTCCACTAGATCGACCCCTCCCTCCTTTCAAGTCTCAAGCAGGCCTTACACCTCCTTCCCCTTATCACGTTACGCTGATGTTTTTTGCGTTTTTGTTAGTAATTGATTATTTTTTTAAGCCAATGTTATTTTGACAGCATTTTTCATTATTAAATTATATATATATATATCAAGAACCGGGTTTGACGATTTCAAAAAAGTGCTAAATGCATCGAATTAGATAATCATTTTCTCAGAGCTTTTAGGGTTCCGTTCCTCAAAAGGAAAACAGAAACCCTTTGTTGCATCTTTACAATACTATAGGTTTTATTTTATTTTGCATACTAATTTTATTATTGTCGGAAATTTTAAGTATTATTTTCTATTTGTATACAAATTCAATTCTATTATTCATTTTATTATTTACCTACAATTTTCAGGTATATATTATTTATCAAATGCAAACAGTAATCTCAGTATTTTTTAATGTATTCTACTATCTTATTGTAACATTTCTTCCTTTGTAAAGTCACGTTCGCTATATTACTGTAATTTCCAAATTTAAATTCACGTATTTTGTCTGTACCTGAAATGGGGTATTGACCTGACTGACAGGGTCGCCTTGCACCCTCAATGTTATTGTTAACGCCCACTGGCGAAACTATTTAAGTAATTAATAATACACATTTTCATCAGTATCAAGACAGTATCAAATCAGTATCAAGACAGTATCGAATCAGTATCAAGACAGTATCAAATCAGTATCGAATCAGTATCAAATCAGTATCAAATCAGTATCAAATCAGTATCAAATCAGTATCGAAACAGTATCAACAAGCAACAATCAATTCATATTCAATCATAGAGCCTACTTTTATACTTTTACATCTAATTTTATTTATTTAGTTTTATTTTAATTCTACGTGTAAGTTAAGTGTTGACTATTAAATATTTAAAACAACAATCGTTATCATTTACATAAAATAGTTTGCTCGCAATTAATTTGGCGTGTAAAGTGAGAATACCAGAAAGAACTCTTTCAATTAAAATTTATTTTCTCACAACAAACACCCTTAATGTATGTATCACTTCGTTGTCTGTTTGTTGCCTGTCTGTCAAGACCCTTTTTGTCAAGAGCGCGTGGAAGTATCAAGTTGAAATTCATATCAAATCCACAAGTCTGTCATCCCTTAGAACTTTGAAAAAATCAAACTTCTAGGTCAATGCAATCAAAGGATATAGCCGTTTATGACGTATATATTGACACTTACAAGGGAATCAAAGCCTGTATGGGGCACACTTCCCGTAGACAATCACGAAATTTGTTAAGAAACAATGTCTTATAAGACAAATAAAGGGAAAAATCCGAAAACTGTAAATTTATGGTTAAACTATTTTGGGGGAAACAAAGCATACTCGGAAAAAGCGAGAAAAATCTTCGAGACTCAATTCCCTTGACGGCCGAACAATTTACATACCTAATACAAGTTTGCACTTAGTCGGTCTTTTTATAATTGATGTTTATGTAATTAACTGAAATATTGAAAATGCATATGGTGATATATTTATTATTTAGTTTTTCCGTATATTCAAGATAAAATACCAGATCTCTCCGGAGGAATTAATTGAAGATGTATCACACTATAATTTGTATAAAAGTAATAATACTACGAAATTCCACCACAAACCTGAAGGAAAGAAAGAAATTTTGATTGAACCTCTTAGCTCAAAATTCTAGATCTAACCTTGCGTGCAATACACATGAAGTATTAAAAAGGGTTCTAAGCCACTTGAGGATGAAGGGAGAAATAATATAATGTTTATTATTTGTTTGCAGTCTCGCGGTATCGTCCACTGAGAATTCTCACCTCCTAACGAGAAAATGAATGGGATGTTCTGCTATAGAACGAAGAATCGTTTTTAAAACTAGTCCAAGGAGTTCCTGTCTGCTATTGTAATAGAATCTTTTTCTCTGCACAACAATGTTTCGTCACATTCGTCTTTAATTGTCACCTGCTTTTTAGCAGCATGTTCAGTTTTCTTGTTCGCATAAACACTTAAAGTAATTGCCATATATGTCGCTTAGGGATTGTTCTGGTGCCAAAGCCAAAGCTTTGTACGCGTTACGGATATCACAAGTAAAGTAAGAGAGATTCTCAAAACATTTATACGGAAAAGTTGTGTCTTTTCCGCTACATGTATAAGAAAATTAGGGGTGTGCATTGAGTAAGTATTACTACCTACCACAGCATTTTGAATTTAATTTTAATAACACCTTTCTAAATACAGTGTAAACTCTTTATAACGTCACTCGATTTAATGACAAACTCCTTAAAACGTCGAAATTGCTTGACTTTGGTTGGTTTACATTGTTTTCTATACAATATTACACTCTATATAGCGTCACGCTCACTCTATTTAACGACAACAATGCGGCATTATAAATCATT